AGTTGGCATTGATTTCGTTAAGGTTGAGATTGTGCAATGCCTTAAATGTATATAAACTTATAAAAACTTAATTATATAAACCTTGATGGATTGTATTTAATAGAGGATATTGAATGAGTGTAAGTTCAGTACTGAATTAATTGAATAAGTATACCAAGGCATACCAGGAAGTCCTATACGAATTACTTAGATTACTGAAAAATGATAATTTAAAAACACTTGATTCGCTAATGATATGTAGAGTTTTTGTTGATATGAAAAATACCAATAGTCGACCAATATATGAACTAAGATAAAAGCACATGAATAAGGTACACGAGCAAATCGTGATAAAATTAAGTAAGAAAGATGGTTTGATTTTGATTTCCAACCGATTTTCTTACTTACTGTCTATACCAATAAAACCAAAATAATGGTTTTTAGGAAAAGGGGGCCTTTAAAAGATAATGAAAATTGGTAGTATAATGATATTTTATTAGAAACTGCTGACAATTTCAACTATCTAGGCGTAGTTTTTAATTACAATGGGTCTTTTACACTTAATAATCAGTACGTAATTGGCAAAGGCATTGTCTGTTTTATGTGGTGGCTGATTTGTGCCATTTGTGTTTTCGCCCCGCGCCCCCGCCATTTTAACTTGTTAATACTCGACTTTTCGCTTGGCGGGGTCGCGGGACAAAAACACGCTAATTAGCGGGGTCGCGGGGCGAAGTTTTATTTTATTAAACTTCGCCCCGCGCCCCCGCCGTTTATATTTTTAATTCTCGCTCCGCGTCCTCGCGGGGCTAAGTTTTATTTGTTAAACTTCGCCGCGCGCCCCGCTAATTAGCGTGTTTTCGCTCCGCGACCCCGCAATTTAAACTTGTTAATTCTCGACTTTTCGCTTGGCGGGGTCGCGGAACGAAAACACGCTAATAAGCGGGGGCGCAGGGCGAAGTTTTATTTTATTAAACATCGCCCCGCGCCCCGCCGTTTTATTTCTTAATTCTCGTTTCGCGCCCTCGCGGGCGAAGTTTTATTTGTTAAACTTCGCCGCGCGCCCACGCTAATTAGCGTGGTTTCGCTCCGCGACCCCGCCATTTAAACTTGTTAATTCTCGACTTTTCGCTTGGCGGGGTCGCGGGACGAAAACACGAATGTCACAAATCAGCCACCATAGTTTTATGAAAGAGCATCAATAAATATGGGATAACACCTAACATTGCGCTGCAGCTTTTTGACTCGTTTGTTGGTTCAGTTCTCAGCTATTATAGTGCTGTTTGTGGATTTTCAAAATCAAAGGATATAGAGCGATTTTGTAAATCTATATTAGAAGTGAAACAAAGTGCTTGTACTGCAGCAATCTATAGCGAATTAGTTAGTTATCCATATCTACTAAACGATATGTGCAAATTATCACATATTGGCTTAAAATAATTAATAGCGATAATATTATTTTAAAAACTGGTATGTACACTTCATTTGAATTACATGAAAACTACAATCAATGTTGGGCTTCTAAAGTATATAGAATACTAAATGAGTACGTTTTTTTCTGATGTTTGGCACAACCCTTTTCAATACGAAGCCAAATATTTTGTTAAACTTTTTAAACAAAGGGTGATTGACTGTTGTTATTTTTTGCAAAAACTTTCAAACGATATTTCAAACAGTCCATTGTTAAGTAATATATGTGTACATTTGTATAACTCATTTGAAATGGCAAACTACCTGAAAATTCTCCATAACAGAACTTATAGAAATTGCTTAGCAAGATTAAGATTATCGTCACATAAACTTTGGATATGGTGCTAGGACAATACCCAGTAATGAGATAGAAGATAAATTCCATTTTATATGTGTATGTGATAGTTACTCTAATATACGTTATCTTTACATTAAGCAATACTACTACAGAAGACCAAGTATGTTCAAATGGATTAAATTATTAAGTACTGAAAAAAGTCTGAAGTAATAGGTTAAGGTTAATATTTGTATTATACTACAAAGCATCGAATTGAATTACTAAATGCTCTGTAAATCAATGTATAAATTTGGTCTCGTTATATTTAAAAGTGATATTGTTTATTCTTGAAATTACTTGATTATGTGTCTATTATGAAACATTGTTAAACAGCTGTTCTTATGGAATCTTATCACAGCATATGATGTAGTTTAAAATCCAATTTTTATATTTTGAAGAATGTAAACGCTTTATAAAAGCTAAGCTTTCTTTAGTACTAAATGATGTTAATGTTCATTCTCCAAACATGTAAAATGAATATTTTGTGCTACAACACTTTTGTTCGTCTATCTTTTTATCTACCTACCTACCCACCCACCCACCTACCATATATCTGCTCACGATTTGCTCGTGCGCAATATGTACCCTAGTATGTAGTTAACTTAATTTTGCCCTAGTATGTAGTTAACTTAATTTTGCCATACATGAAATGTGCATAAAACCTTACAAAATATTTTACTTCGTCCTCTGAAATATATCACATTCAAGGTAAAATATTTTTTGTAATTATTTTCAGTTTTGGTCCTTAAAAGCCCTTGAATTTGTTTTGCAAATTGTTCATACTTTTAGATTGTGAGCTTTGTTTTTATAATTATTATGAACATTGCCCTACATTCACTTCGAAACCACTTAGTGTAAATCAAACATGTCTGACAATGCACAGCCGATCACTTGACTTAATTGGAAGCTTCACTAATACGTGCAAGTATCCAGATTAGTAGCACAACCTGATTCAGTGGATTTCACTAAATCTTCTCCTTAACTGTCATTCAGTTGTATTTTTTGTCTGTACTATGTTGAATTCATGACACGGGAAAGCAAGCATCAATACAAAGAAGATGTTTGCATATTGACATCTTTGGTTCATTGAATATTTTGCAGATTTATGCCTTTATGTCTTTTTGCGCAACTCAATCGAAGGTTTTTGTTGAAAGTGTTCATACATTGAGGGGATTCCTGCTGAATCATCTATTGGAGAGATACGCCGCTGTCATTTTCAGAACCTGCTATTTTGCTGAATTATTCAATCAAATCAGTCTAGTTTATGTTTTGGTAAATAATTAACGTGGACGTTGAGAAATTTAGCTGTGTGACAGCGTGTAAGTAACCAATTTTTATGGAAGACGATTTTAGTATTCATAAATATCAAACAACAAAATACGGAAACTTAATCTTTGTATTCATTTCTTGTAAGATATTAGTTTCCACTGTTATTAACATACAATTAACAAACAAAATAATTAAAAAAAAACAATATCCCTGTTGTAAGTATTTGTACGTGCATTGACCCACGACCTGGAGCATAAGTATCTAAAACTTAATAGAGATCACTGCAGTTTATTGCCAGTCTAGACAGATGATAGTGTGACTAAGGTGACTAAGGAAGTTATTGGAGCTTCATGTAAATTGTTTTCCTGGACGAAATTTGGACGGACAATTTATTTTGTCAATAGAATTTCAAAAAACGGAGTAAGAATCGAGTTCATTTATTGAATTTGAAATTGATACGCACTTATGTGTGCGTTGGTGTGTGCGTATATACGTGTGTGTGTGAGCTCCATGTCACAAGGAAGGTCATTTTTATGTTACGTCTGACTGGAACTAATATCTCCGTAAAAGGAGTTTAACAGTGCATTTATGTCCTTTACCGATAAGAAGCCAAAACTTGCTGAACGAAAACCAAGTCCAAAAGCCGATCACGAATTTATACTAATAATAATAACATTGACGAAAAATGCAAACAAAACTATGAAAGACTACTAGCTTTTATGCAAAAATCACGATGCTAATAAGAATGCATTATGTCAGTACAGAAGGATGATTACAACCGTAAAAGATATTTGTGTAGCAGCACTGTGTCGACTGAATCCAGATTAAGGTTATTGTTAGGAATTCGAGGGCGCCTTATTAATCCGAATGTCCTACAGTTGCAAAATTGGCTTACAGAACAGTTTCTAGACTTTCAACTATCACAGAATATACGGATAAGTGACACGTCATAAAGTACTTAATATCTGTATCACACTGAATTATAGTGAAGTGAATTTATAAACACAACTTATACAGATATAGTTGATTATAAAAAATATGCACTGTCTATGGTGTGCTTAAATACCTATTCTTATAACTAAGTGGTATTTTCATTATATGGAAAGCATTTTAGGAGAAGCATTTGACTTTTTCTGTTGATTTTTTTCGAAGATCTAAGTATTGCTAGAGAACACACCATATCTTTGTAAATCATTAGTAGAATATAAGTATTCATATGTCACAGGGTCATTTGTGGTATATACTACCATTATTATATCCTATATGTTATATACTAGTAGTGCATTTCTAATAAATATATTCTTCCTTGTCCATCCACTCTTCATGTCATATTTACTCCCATAGCCTCATTATCATTCCTCATATATCATACACTAACTATAGTTACTAAACTATGGTGACGGGCCTCAATATTTCGCTCATAATTTACCGCCACGCATGCGTACGGCAGATTTGAAATACAGTTGTTGCTTCTGACTGTGATTCTTTATTTATTATTTTGCTGTCTCTGTGTGTTTTGCAGGTAATTTACTTATATAAGTGTATTGATATATGTAAATTCTTCATTTTCTCATTCATCGTTTGTTTCAGGATTTTGACGGTTTTGTATATTTATGGAATGCACTGCAGATTTGAAATACAGTTGTTGACGTGAAAACGTAACTTTGTGATTATTTTATTATTTTGCTGTCTCTGTGTGTTTTTGTAGCAGTCCTTACACAGAAGAGAACTTTACGAAATCCTTCGACAAATCTAGAAGGTTAAGGTATTTCCGGATATTAGAATCAAGTCGTTGCATAAATAAGCTCGTATTACAGAAATGCTCTGTATTATGAAATTTAAACATAATATACAGTAAAATAAAATAGATATACATCATATACTGTATGTATATTTATACGTATTGAATTATAATCATATGGGGGAATAATAAATCACAAAAATGATATTATTGGAAAAAAGGATTGTTTATTTGAAGAAATTAGCATGCAAGAAATGCTTGTTTTATATCATTTAGCCGTCATATGTGTTCTCACCACTCATCAGGCCTTATCAATTCACAAGCATCATTATTGTCACAATCATGACATTGTTATTTAATATCTGAGAGAAAAAAAGGATCCTTTATGGCTAGCCTAAACGTGATGGACTGAACATTCTCGATATATTAAACATCTTAAACATTTTACAGCAAGCAGATAATAAAATTATCAAGTGAGTGTATTTATTCAGAATAACTAGATGAAGGATAATCTTTAGCAAACTAGTTGAATGGTAATCTTAAGGCAAACTACACTGAGATTTTTTCGCCTAAGTTCACGACGTAATAAATATATACGTATCAGCTATAGCCTTATAAAAATTAATTATGATTCTAGATTAGAATGTAAAGAAGTAAGACAGTCATTATAGCTGTGAATGTGTTGAATATTCTTGAAGCAGCAGAATTCTCCTCAAGTACAGGTTTGTTACAATCTTTCGTTTCACAGCATGACACAGTCGTGCCTTTAGGTGCAGTTTTCTGGTCAGAAGCACAGTCTTTGACCGCACACTTGAATTCTTGGCTAGTCGTTCCATTAGTCACTGTCTTTAATGTCTAAAATTATAAATAAGTTATTCAAATATCATCGATGAGAGAATGTCAATTACATGTACCAAATAAGTGCATAGTAAAAGTATTGAGGCAAACTTATAAGATATTATTTCAGTCAATAATATTCTTTTCTAATTTTGGACAGTATGTAAAGTTTTTGTAAACCAGGTTCAGTTATTCAACAAAAACAATGAGTGGCTTTTATTCGTATTGTTCTTGACAACTCCGAAAATAATGTTTAATTCCTAAATGTTTGCAAGAACAATATTTATGGAGAAAGGATTGCAATTACGCACGAAACGTGAAACGAATAAATACAAAGAACAATCAACGCTAATCTATAGACATAGTTGTAAATATATGTTTTCTGGATGTTAGGTTATACCTTTTGCTTAATTGCAGAGAACGCTATAGTATGGTTTTATAACGCTTGCAAATTGTCCAGTGTAAACACTGTCAAACACATTCACGGGATGTGAGTTTGATCCCCGCTTGCTTTTCTCACTTAAGTAACAGACATAAATAAGGATAATAATACTAAGATAGGTATCTTAGTATCAGTGCTTATTTCTGCATGTTTAAGAACCAGTAGTTCATTCGGAAACAGAGACTCTTTGTACATTACCCAGACAATACCCAGACAAAATCGACTGACAGTCTTCTGTATATTATACCAATTGATGATTAAGGATAATTTTTTATCCAAAATGAAATACCGGTATTTGTAAGATATTTGTATGCAGCACTAGGTGTTATTTATTCAATTATTCTCTGCATTACATTACATTTTATTAACAAAAAATGATGAAAAACCTTGGAATTACACAAAAACTGAATTTTGCATGTTAACACATGCCCTAACACCGAAATTTGGTCAAAAATTGTTGTTTTTTGACATTTTTTATTTTTTTTATTAAGAAATGTCAAGGGAGAAACATATAATGAAACTCTTTTTGGGACAACAGAATTTTAGCCATTTGTTGCTATCATTAAATGCATCAATTGACCATTTGATAACCTGCTGCTCAAATGTTATGAATGCACTTTAATTTCGCTTAGCTCTGGGAGATATAGCATAGAATGAGGTTTTCCTTTTATTTGTAACTATATAGTAACTGTACCTACCAGGCAAACCCTCTTTGAGCATATAGCACTTTTGAAAGCAGCGGTCACTGTATTATTTGAACATTCTTCACCAACACAACTTCCGGTCAAACATGATATTGGCGCCTGCAATATAACAGCTGTCACTGAATTCTCCGTAAAAAGTGCCGGGGAATAAACTATTTTAGCTATTATTGACTGCGAGATTTGTCGCAAAAGTTCGAATAAATAAGAACAGATCGCCATAGCGGTTTCAAACTTAAAAATGCATAAATTCAAATATCTACCTTGCCTAGTTTGACACTTAACGGTTCAAAACATTACGTCATTTCGTTGCCAACGTGATTCCATGAATTTTCACTATGATATATTAATTTGGTCTTGTATAATTAGCATGGACACCCTGCATACCGAATTAGTATGTACTCCAACATTGTATGTCAATATTATGTGAGCAGGACATTTACTGATCCCTAATCAGTCCGATGCGCAACCCCTAATCGTTCCGATGCGCAACACACATTCGCCCGTCTGTCCCTTTCTAGTAAATCCTTAACTGAAGCCATATTGCCGCTATATGTTAATGACGGTTTCCCCGCTAGAAAATCTCCTGCAAAACTATTTTTTCTTCAAATTTTGACAAATTCCCAAAAATTTGTAAACATATGCACATCGTCATTCCCTGTTGCTTTTTATAGTTTCGATTGTCTCATTTGAAGAGATTTAAAGAGGCATGCATTTATAAGTTTGTGATGTTCCGTTGTTCGTGAACATCAAATTACGTCTTTTTTTGTTGTGCCGGATGACCAAATTTCAATTTTTTAAATAGAAATGAAAAAAAAGCAATAACGTATTTTCCGTAAATTTGCTACGTGGTTAGATATTTTAATACGTATGTGATCTCAAAATTGAAAAAGAAAAAGCGAAGAAGAATAAACGAGCGTTATAACTTTCGTAATGGATTTTTATGAGAACTTTTGGGACAATTAACCCTCGTTTCTACGCATGTCAATTTAAAAAAAACCTTATACCGAAAAAAATTTGGTAAAGGTAGAGTTATTAACCAACGGCTAATATTTTATATTAGATAAACACTCAAGTACTATACTGTATTTCTAATTTTCACATTTTTATCAGTTTGTTTAAAGCATGAATGTCATAGTAATAAATCGATTTCAACAACATTGTTGCTAGGGTGCAAAATCGTAGTTATGCTAAAGGGAATAAATCACCCACTCACATTTTTCAAACATACAGATTTAAATGTTATCTTTAACTTCATCATGGCAACTGAATTATTACAGATAGGAATGCTGCTGATAACAGGGTTTCAAATCAATATATGCGCAAAAGATCGCGTGATTTTCTATTTCCTTCAACCTGACATTTCGTCATTATTTTCATACGTATATGGCAGAAATAGATAGATACCTTTGTCGCATGTTTCGTTGTTACTTTCGAGCTTACTGTTTTTGAAGAACTGCTCATCACTGTTTTCACTGAAAAGGAGTCATTTAAAATATGCATAAAATTAGTAATTCTTTTTTTCTTCCTGATTTCAAAACGTTTAAAATTTATGAATTTCAAATTACTGATATGTATCATTTAACAATAATCGGTATTCGCGATTGCAAATAAAAAATCCGTCTATCATTGTCTCCTCAGTTGTTTTGGTGTAAGCAGTCTCATTGTTTATTTTTCTTTCCAATTAAGGAACAAGAAAAGCATTGATGCAAAGCATCAAATGGCGTCCAAGCAAGAAATGCAGCAAGTGAAGATGAACTAATAGACATATGATGACAAGATATTCTTATAAACTTTTCAATGGTTAATTGGTTTTTACCAGAATGAACGGACGAAAGACATTGTTCATTATTAACATTGATTGGCATGCTAGAGATTAGAATATTACTTGTTATTTCTTTATGATCGTGATTATTAATAACAACGGATACAATGTATACAATCATTTATAATCCATATGTGTAATGCATGATCAACACCATGCACACTTGTGAAATTGTCCCTTATTATGTTATCGCTAAAAGCGAAGACCCCCTCTTAAGGTATCTGTTCACACTTAGTAAAAATATGACACTGGTTATATTACCATGTTGATCATGTTGAGCATAATTGTTTATTATACAATATTGTAATATCTATTTTAATATAAAAATACAGATTTTATGAATATTTTTTTCATCTTTTTTTGTGTTTTATGTGCTATTTTAATACTGAGTTTTTTACGTTTACTTCTCCTTTTTTTTATTAAAATTGTAAAATAAATTTTAAGAATTCAATTGTCATATTGACCGACGATTAAAAGTCAAAACTTAACTGGAAAAAGTCAGTAAATTATGGTTAATCTTTCAATATATGATATTGTTTATTCTTAAACCATGTAGATGTATATTTGTAATTTTCTTTTAATTATCACCTTTTAAAATTATCAATCAATGAAATAATTCATAAAATCTAATTTGTAACTTTGAATAATTCCTCGGCATCTTTGCTAAACACGAATAACAAATTAAATAAAATGTTTCAAAGTTGATAGTGTCATATTAATGCCCTAAAAAAGTACCTTTTTCTCAATTATTGTACACATTTATTGTTTTATCTCATATAGATAAAATGAAACATGCTATTGTTGTTTTTTTTTTTCGAATTGTATGTTTATGTATTATAATAATCAATAAATTTGAGAGTTGATCTATGTTTATTAATTATTGTAACCAACTAAGTGACAAACATTCATTTTGGAAAAAAAGCTTATTTATCTGTAAAATATTTGTTCTGTTCTGTAACGATATCAAACATCTACTCCAAAACCGGGAGAGACTGGACAATAAACGTGTGATACTATTCGCCGGTTACTAGTAAATCCCGGTCAAAATAGACCGGTAGAGACCGGGAATTACCTATAGGAGTACATCCCTCTATAAATAGATTTTCGGAATGTAAAATTTAGGTCATCAACTCATCATTCTATTTTAACATATCATAATAACCCACTGTGTACTACAAAATGATAAATAAAAAAAACCGAAGAGACGGAGAAGGTTATTTCATTTGAAAATGTTTGCATTGCGAAATTCTCCATTTCGCTATTCATTGTACATATCGCGACATTTCATTTTTAATTAATAATAATCAAGCACCCTCATACCGATCGGAATGATCGGCTTTTCTTATGACCGACTAAAAGGCTCGAGAAGTTGCTGTCGCCCTTTCACAAAATCTGATTTCATTCCATAAAGGGCGCCGCGCTTCGGCGCGGACGCCAATAATAAGTCGATGTATATGTGGCCACTTCTGCATACAACACGTTGATCTTTTTAATTAAACAATAAAATACATTTTACTTACTTAATACATTTACTTTAATAGAACGAATATAACAATCTACATGTAAAATAGATTAAATAATTAAAGAGGAGATAGTTTTCAACACTGCACAATTTGGTGATACCATTTAAAGGCCCACTGAGCCTCAAAATGTCAATTTTTTTCATCTCTCAGGTTGACTTCCTGGTGTTGTCTCGTTGGACATAAAGCAGATACTTCTTTTGATTCTTTTGCGTTTTTGACAAAATAATTAAAAGTAGAAGTCAATATACTATTTAGTTCACATTTTGATACTTTCATCAGGCAGTATTTCACATTTGACGCTATGACTTCAGGTGGTTAGCATCTAAGATGTTCATACTTAAAATTACAACATCATAAAAAACTATACATGTATGTGCCATTTCTACAAGAAGAAAAAAACTGACTCTTAATGCACCTTTAATGCCATATATCATGAAAAAAATGAGAATTGTTTTTCTAAAGAGATCCTTAAATAGTTGAACAATAAAATAGAAAAAAATACACACCTGTCGTTACAGTTGAAGGTACTGTAGTTTTTACTGTTGTTACGTTTGTGGTAGCACCATCAGTTTGTACTAAAAGTACCGCTAATATGATTACAATACCTGTAATTGTATATATTTTTATGATAAATTCTTGTAATAGTATCACTTTGATATTCTTAAATTAGTATTTATAGAAGCGGCTTATAGACACTCATTTCTGCGATCTGACTGTAAAAATCATCATCATCATCTTCACCGCTTTTTTTTCTTCTTCTTTTTCAGTTTCATTTATTTATTTATTTATTTATTTATTTATTTATTTATTACATGAAATATTACAAATATTTACCATTTATATTTCATTCATTGTTTTATAATGATATTTTATACCAGAATTAATAAAAATAAATACGGCTTGAAGATTTCTTTGTTGCTTGAATTATTCTGGCTGTTTTCCATTTTTCTTTTATGAAATGAATCGTTTACTTACTGAAATTTGGTATAAAATCCATCCTGATCAGTAAATCTGTCAAATGGTCAACGCCCGCTGATATTTGAATTTTTATAGTACAGCGGGGATCACTGAGTCACTCCCTTTTGTCAATAATTTAACCTAGTCTCATTGGTAGATTGAGATATCAGAAAATACCCTACTCCTCAAATCACCTGTAGCTTGAGATAACAGAAAAATACTGTTTTATCCTTATTTATTTTCGCCATCGTTGTCATAGCAAACTAAGTAGCTATCTCATTGTGTCTCACGTTATCTTATCACTACATTGATACACGACTTAAACAACTTGCAAGATTTTTTTTACCTCAGTTATTACATTATAATCACTTCCTAAGTCTAAACATCTCCTAAAACAGCACGAGTAGAGCAGTAATAATGTGTCAGGGATATAGTGTCGTGAAATTCTTACTTTTTAAAATGTGCAATTTTGAGACTCACGATGCTCACTTTTTTGGCTTGATCAATGATACTGTCAGTAGACTGAAGAAAGTTCAAATAAAAGTATCAAACTTTTAGAAAAACTTTTCTTTTTAATGTACAAATCATTTTACGCTTTAAATAAACACCATCAATCACAAGTAATTCAAGTAGTAGAGTGAATAAAAAAAAAACGCTAATAATGTTCTGAATCTGAAATAAATTTTAATTTGAACAAAAACAACAACAACAAAAAAAAAACAAAAAAAAACAACAACAACAAAATATAAGATGCCAATAAACTAGATCTATGAATAAGAGAAAATCTCTTGATTCAGGAGTAAAATTAAGGGGCACCTCGAGAACTGTACGAGTGATTTGATATGTAAATGACAATGAAAAATTAAGGGGCACCTCGAGAACTGTACGAGTGATTTAATATGTAAATGACAATGAACAAGTCGTTTAATTAACTATTGTAATATTTTCAGACGAAGACAAACGAATAATCAGTGCACATTGTATGTAACATAGACAGACACATGCTTTAAATGTTTGTAATGATTTTATCTACAAATTGTTTGCTATTTCATATTGACTACTCACAAGAGACAGTGAATTTTCAATATCCATCCCACCACTTATACAATCAACAGAAATATCAGTACTTTCTTAGATAATGAAGGACTAGAAAATGTGAATGCATTTCTTATACACGTAGTTAAGATGATATTTAATGTACTAACAGTAGTGTAATTTCAAAATCAAACCTACACATTTCTTTAAGTTGCTAGGTCGTTAATATTTCACAATATTTAATGTTTCCGTGTAGATAACCAGCACGATATGAATATTTTGAAATAGGTACACATAAATACCACACAGTATACCCTCAAAACTGTAACAAAGAATAACTCCAGGTCAATACCTTTGTTATATCAAAACTGGTTGAGTGACATTTCGACATTTTTCAGCCTTTATCGGTGAAGGAAGACTCAATTGATTCCCTGGATCAAGCAGGTACCTGAGTAGAATGATCGATCTCTCAAAAGCTTGCTCAATAGCTTTCTCACGTTAAAGTTTCAAATATCAGCCTTTTTATCAGATAAAACCACGATAATTTGTTTCTCCTGTGTATTTTCTCATCTTATCTATTGTCTCGACAAAAGTATTTGAGCTATTTGATCGTTTTGTTTCTTAACTCAGCGCATTCAAATGATTTGTATCAAAGGTATGCGACCACGTTGACGATATGTATACACTTTACAACATTATTTTTTTCCATGTAAATTTTACAGGGCGATATTGAATGTGAAGCAGACACCACAAAAATGTAATGATAATATCAACGCTAAAGTGTATTTTGACAGCGTTTACATGCAAGTTACATTGAGCATACAGTTAATTTCAGGTACAATGTATCATCAAGACAGCACATGTTGTATAAAGTAGAAAAGGATGACATGTTGTAACTTGTTTTATTGTCCTTGACCTTGTAATAAAACATTCAATTGTGTTTATTCGTTTGACCATGTATATATGTGTTCAGAGACAAAAAGTGTACACTGTGGCATAGCTTTTATATTTCAATTTCTTTAAAGCAGTTAAAATGTGTTATTATGTTTTTTATTTATTTATTTGTTTTTGAAAGCGATAAATCTCGACCTCATGTCGTCGTTTTCTCTCGCCAACAAATGAAATCCCTGCGCGCTGAAATATAGCACGGTGTCATTAAAATTAAGTAAAGCAAAGTAGTATTTAAAAAACAAAAAATCCATTTTGGCATTTGATAATATACTGCTACCATATTCATTATATATGTTTGTTTCTTACAAGCATTGGTACTTTATTTAGCCAGTATATAAACTATCCGCAAAAAAATAATCCATTGATGTAGTGTGACCAGACACTCCATTATATACTGTATAACCTAGACCTTTTATAAATTCTCTGGGTTTCCTCCTATTTAGAATGCAGAACCCAACAAACTTACATATCCGGTTTATATTCGGAGTCAAGTTTAGTAATTACTGGAGTTCCTCAGGTATATACTGTTTTTAATATATATCGATGCCCTTCCTTTGTCTATGGAAAAAACAGAAACTGATATTTTTCCTGATGACACCACCCCTTCAACTTCTGATGTATCCCTAAACAGAGTAGTTGAATCTCTTTACTCATGATCTTTTAAATCTCTTAACAAATGGTGTGATTTGAATAGCATGTCTATCAATGCTAACAAAAACTAAGTCATGTATATTTCCTCAAAACACAAGCAAAATTTTATTTATGAAAGTAATCCTTGTTTTTCGTATAAAACAGAGCACATTGTTTGTAACTCTGAAGGAAAATTATTGGGTATTAATCTTTGTCTTTGCAAAGCCATATTGATAATTTTCTTAAAAATGCAACTTCTTGTTACATTTATTATCTCGTAATAATATTATTCATATCTATACATGTACGCAAAATGTTTTACAATGCTACATTGAACCACATCTTGTCTATTGTTGTATAATTTACGGTAACTGTACGTCTTTTCTAGAAGATAAAACAGGAGAGCTGCAGGGCTAATTCTAGAGATTACGACACTCCATCTGCTGAACTATTTTCTGAACTCCGCTGTGTTATCTTTTCACTGAGGGTTGTTTTTAAAAAGCTTTTATGATGTTAAGATAATAAATAATCAGTCGCCTGCCTTTTTATTGAATAATTTAATTTTATCATCAGATGTTCATACTCGCATTTTGTGTTCATCTGATTTTCAACTTTACACCACTAGACCAAATACTGAACAATTTTGTAAGTCTTTAGTGTATTTGGAACGGCCTTCCTGATTATATCACGTCTGCTACATCTGTGAACCATTTTAAAACCTTATACTTGAGTTAATGATCAACATTATTTTTTGTCCAATCACATTGTAGTATTTTTCAAATTTCTGCTAAGTCTAACTTTGGTTAATGTGTACTTTACTTAATCTGTCGTCTAACCAGTCTAACAAATTTCAATATTGCATTATATTAGGGAGGAGTTAGAGGTGTGGTTTGCACTCTGAATTGTAAAATATCTAGGTTAGCAAAACAATGCCAACGAAAAATAAATTAGGCAAGGTCAGGTGTGAGGATACAATCAATTAATCTGTTGCATAGATAATACATGTGGGGCACGCAGAGACAAATGATTACATAGTAACTTTTTTATATCATTTTAACTCTAAGAAAAATGTCTGTTATAAATTGCTGACTGTTTTAAACTTAATATTTTCTAGAAAAAGTAACCAAAACATTATTTTCTTTCAGTCGATAGTGTAGATTAACACGGTGTTCAATAACTGTAGGAACTATACTGTTCAATAACTGTAAGAACACAGTGTAGATTACGTGGGAGGCTGAGAGAGAACACGTTAATACGGGTGTTCACTTCAACTGTTCACCAAATTACAAAGACACTAACGAACACAGTCGTAATGGGCAGCTTCACTAAGTTTGGGCAACAAAAAGATGCAATTCACGCGCTATATTTTCCACTTTTATTCCAGAAACAACACATAGTCTAAGGAGTATATAGTGTATCTAACGTATATAGCGTATATAGCGTATATAGCGTATACAGCGTATATAGCGGTTATCTGAAAGTTAAACAGTTATACTTACATTAATAACAATTAAAACAACATACAAAGAATGCATACATACTTACAAATAAACAAGTCACATAATTATATAATTCATCCTTAACAAATACTGTGGGAATCCTGCTGCTAGTAATGTTAACAAATTTATTAATTGATAGAATTACAGATTATTTACTTTTACATCAAAGTTTTAACTAGGATACAGCTTTATCTATCTTAACATAAAATTGTTAATGTATTTACCTTAACAATAATAAATGTAATTATTTTAGAACAAAACTTATGTAAACAATAATTTTCCCGAACGAAGGCAAATAAAAAAAATAATAAATAAACTTACTGAACAATGGTATCTGTGCCCGAAACTTAATAAATAGAAATTCACAAGATTTGTACTTAACATTCCGAAATCTTATTTTCAACTGCGCCTTGGAAAGGCGGCAAATCTTGCATTTGCATATAATTATTATTTCTAGGGACAGTTTTGACCAACCAAAATGCAGGAAGCGCCCTCTAAGAAAATAAAAGTAAAATTTGATTTTCTAAATATGGGGATCATTAATTACTAGGGAACGCTTAGTCTTGGCAGGGACCAGAGCGCACTAAAATAACACTGCGCTGGACAGTTGGCATGATTTATTGAAATCAAAACAATTATCTAAACATTTTAAACCGGTCTCTGATAATTAAAACCAGCACCAACATTCGGAGTCTGGAACAGATAGTAATTAACTGCATTAACAATCCTTGATATTAAGAATACAATGTTTACATTTTGGCTGGAAAACTCATTGTATTTACACATTTCATTAACTTCATTGTTTTTACCTAATAGCATCTTTCCACGCTGTTATTTTTTTCACATATTTTATAGAAACATGATAGTCTTACTGTAGATAAAGATATAAATTCTGTGACATTTCAGTAAAAAATAACAACAACAACAACAACAATTAATTTCAGCATTAAGTAATATACATTTACTTCTAGCCTACAATAATATAATAATGTGTAGTGATAGGTCATATAAAGATTACATAAGTGTTATTATTTAAACAAAGGAGCTTTTGATT